ATACGATCAAAATTGGTCAAAAATTACGTTTTTGACTGGTCAAAAATTGCGGTTTTGATTGGTCAAGATTTGTGGCTGTGATTGGTCAAGCGAAAAATAGAGAGTAGTTTTGTCATTTTTACAAATAGGCGGGCAAAGAAATATGTGAACCCATAGTTCATATGTGAATTAGTTAAATAGGATCACTTCTCAATTGCTCAAATACTTACTATTTCTCAAACGAACATATGGTCATATATAGGCTAGGTTTAGAGGAAAACCACAAGAAAAATGAAAAACTATGCGTACCAAACAATTCGCTTACAGATTACTTGTTTGCACATATGTAAACGGTCTAGATGAACTAGAGAGTGTTCCTCTGTTTTTTCATTTTAGGGGTTTTTCCCTGAACATCCTCTCTCTCTCTCTCTCTCTCTCTCTCTCTCTCTCTCTCTATATATATATATATATATAGGGGGAAGATCAAATGTTAATCAACAATTTTGTGTTAACTTTGAAAACCATGACAACCAATCAAATTTCATTCTTCTTGTAGGTTTATGTCATGTTCACATTTTAATTACAAGGGTATTTCAGTAAATTGATTTGATATGTAACTCCCAAACAATTAATAGGGAGTTACAAATCATCAAATCCCAAAAAATATGCATTTATAATATTAAATTTTTTTTTTTTAATATTGATCTTCAATGTTCATTGTTTTATCAGTATTTAATTCGCATAGAAAACACGGTAATAAAAATTTCCGGTATCGATCAARCTAATATGGATAAACGCAATGGAAAATAAATCGACAACAGTGAGAAGATTAAAATGGTTTATGATGACAATCGGAGTTCAAGGCCGGGAATTGAAAAAATTAACCAAAGCGAATGTCTTGGTAATATATTTTTTATTTTTTTAGATTCATTTTAATCGAAATTATGTTCATTACGATGTGTTGTGTTTTTTATAATTCATCTTGTATTGATAGCTTTTTTCTTTAATTATTAAAATACGTACATAATTCACATGTTCAAATGGAAATACATGCACGACCCATTTTTGTATTGTCATATTACCAACTTTTATAAATCATGATCCATTGTGTTCATGTTACTTCTATCATATGACACAAGTGTTATTTTTAAAGCTTGATACCAAATCTTTATATTTGTGTAAGTGTTTGCACCCGGTGTTCACAGCGTTGGAATTATGTGTTCATATATTTTATACGATATGAACAAGGGTGAACACGATATGAACAAGAGATGAACACGATATGAATAAGGGGTGAACTTTAAACGGTGTGAATGCAATGCATGTATAAAACTTCAATTGACAAAGAATCGCTTCTGAATGTGTTTATAATGAAGAAACTATTGATCATAAGTTGTTCATATCGTGTTCATACATGTTTTTTTCTTTCATGTAGCAGTTATTCTTATTATGTTCATAAATGCTATGCAGTCCAACTTCATATATATGTCAAATTTTTCTTCGTATTTGACACAATGGTTCATATATTTATAGTTATGTTCATATGGTTCTTACATTAACAAAAATAAATTAACAAAAAAATCATAGAATTTTTTATTTTGTAACTCCCAATTAATTAATGATATGGGAGTTACATAATTTTTTTTACCTAAATACCCTTTTCAACTTTGTTCACTTATCTTTATGAAATTTTAAATTTAAAAAAATAAGTTTTTATCATGATTAATCACAACCGTTTATTGAAAAATTGGATGGCCAARATCGGTTAACAAAGTTAACACAAAAACTTTGGTTAACATTTGAACTTGACCCTATATATATATCATGCAAGAAGCTAACAAATTTGCGAGAAGGGGATAAGGAATATGAGCCAAATAATCCATTAACTAAAAAGTAACATAAAAATTGAAAAATAATTTTAGAAATTAGGATAATTATCATTTTGAATTGGATAAATTCTTAAGAATCTAATTATGTCTTTTAGATTTATTTATTTTTTAATCTTATAAATTCATAATTATTTTATCAAGTTTTATATAATTTTTTTAGATGTACTTTGATAAATAAAATATTCACAGTTTTCATCAAATATCACATGTGATATCCATAATCAATTCATTATCTTTTTCACATCTTTTCTCTATTTTCAGGATCCACGTTTTGAATCACATGTGATCAGTTTCGTTTGACATATGATCCACTATGTGAATTTTACGTCTGAATATAAGTGACATATTATCACATGTGATAATATTTACATCACAAAAAGATCTATAAAATATAAATATATATAATCACAAATAATTAACAAAAATATTTATAACTATCACATATAAATTGAATGTAGATATCACATGTGATATTTGATAAAATTTGTGAATTTTTTTTATCAAAAGTGTATCTAAATTTTTTTATATAAAATTTGATTAAAAAAAATACTAATTAATTCTAATTAAAAAAACTAAAAGATATAATAAGATTTTTAAGGATTTATCCGATTAAAATTATTCTTCAATGGTATTTTTTAGTTGATGGATTTTGTGGCTCGTATTCTTTCTCGCCTTCTCGCAAATTGACAATTATCTCGTTTGAACCTGCCCCGTATACATATGTATATATGTGTATATATACACGGATGAGTTTATTTGTTAATCCAATATAAGAGGTTAAGTTTGTGAACCAATCCTAGCCTTTAATCTTTGTAATATATGGATAGAATTCATCATGGCATTTTTGTAACAAATTAAAAAATGATGCTTAATAAACATAAGTGAACAATCATGAACAAAGGGTAATTTTAGAAAAAAAGTAGGAAGATTTTTTTAGCATTAAATATTTTTCCGGTAATTACTCCATCATTTTGAAACTGACATCAAGCTTTAATTATTCCTTCATTTATTAATATGTAATGTGTAACGTATGAATGATGTGAATTAATGAACAACTGTTATATATGAGTAACTTATGAACATTGTTCACCAATGAAAATATAACATATATGAAAATGCTCATTAGTAAACACATACATGAATGTGTATGTATGTGTGAGTGGTGAACAATGTTCACTAATGAATAATTTGTCAAAAGTGAACAATATTCATTATTAAACATTAAGTGCACGCTCATTCAAGTTGACTGCTACTATGTTCATAATGATCATCCATATTATATGATACTATAGACACAACGAACTCGTTCGATTAAAAATGTTGACTGTTGAAGTGTTATTGATTATTTCTCAAAATACATTCATTTATGAACAATCACAAATAATATAACTTACAACACATTAATAATTTCAAAATGGCTAAATTCAAGGAGTAATGTAACTCCGATTTTAATATTTTAAAGTAATACAAAACATAATCTTACTATTTTCCCCTCAATCATTAATTACATAGGAATCTATGAACTATAGTACTAGATTCATTCCTACTAGTCTAGAGAGTTTGTATAGTTAACACAAATGAACTGGTTAACAAAAGATCATGCCTCTCTCTCTGTATATATATATATATATATATATATATATATGTGTGTGTGTGTTTGTGTATATCTATATATAGGCGAATAATCGTGTAAGAAGAAGAGTTAAGGTGAGAACCATAAGGAGAGATTAGAATCCTTAATTACCTTTAATCTCAAACTCACTCATGAATCTTGCTTGATAGTAGTATTGATCCAGTGCATCTATCCTAATGTGCATCCAAGACTAGAGATCTCTTCTTGCGCTTTTTATTTTAAGGGCAAATTGCATGAAAAAGTAACGTACTTTAACTTGATTCCTATTTTGGGTAATGTACTTTCAAAATTTCTATTTTGGTACCTAAGATGTAAAGTTTTAAACATTTAAGTACCCGGGTAACTGGTTGAAGTATTAACCGATTATCATGCTGATGTGGCGAGTGATGTGATATCCAACTCGGTATTATTTGCTGACGTGGTCAGTGACGTGGATTTTTTAAAATCTAAAATTAGTCTTTTTTTTAGTCTAAAATTAGTCTTTCCGGGTTACCCGGGTACTTAAATATTTAAAACTTTACATCTTAGGTACAAAAATGAAAGTTTTGAAAGTACGTTACCCAAAATAGGAATCAAGTTAAAGTACATTACTTTTTCATGCAATTTGCCCTTACTTTAACTATCATTCTTATATATATATATATATATATATATATATATATATCTATAATATATATAGATATATCAATATATACACACACACTCTCACACACACACACACACACATATATATATATTATATATATATATATATATTCTTTTGTACAAACCGTCGATTTCATTGTTTTAATATGATGAAATTGTTTCATAAATTTTTGTTTCTATAAATGAAATTGTGTCATGTATTTCTCATTTTGATGAAATGTGTAGTCTAAATTAATATAATAAACATGATAATGTCCACAATTAATGTCATTTACAATAAAAATGACTAATCAACTCTCATAATCAAAAAAAGTGGAAAAAAATATGATTGGTTGAATTAAGTTTGTACGGTTTGTACAAATGACTTGGTTTGCATTTGATCCCCCCTATATATAGAGCCCTTCTTTTAAGAAGTCATTAAATTGTGATAACCTTGATAACTAGTGCATCATGCTATATTTGACATGAATTTTTTTCATCTAAGAATAGAATTTAGAACATCGATTAATATATATTTGTTTCACGTGTATTTGTTTCATAATGTAAACATTTTTAAACTGTGTGTGAAACAAAAGTTACAAGTAAAAAAAAATTCACATTGTGAACGACATACATAATGACGGAACACGGACTTTGTAATTAATCTAAGGGGCCAAAATGAATCTTTATTAGGGGCTGTTTGGCAGTTGCTGAATGATTTAGTGCAGAATAGTTAAGAGGTCAGAATGGTTAAGAGGGTCAAAATGGTTAAGTGTTGAATGAAATAATGTTGTTTGGTAACTATTATCTGAATGACATTAAATTACCATTTTAACCCTCTCTAACAAAAACCCATTATTCCATTTTATTCCATTTGGGGCGATGGTTGTTGTGGAGAATCGAAAGAAGGTGATATCGGGCATAAGAAACGGGATGAATTTGGTAGAAAAAAGAGGGTTCTTCAGAAACTTCATTCGTGTTTTAAGGGATCGGAGGAAAATCTTGCAGCCAAAATGGATTCAGTGTCGGATTTAGAGATGTATTATCTAACCTCGATGTATTATCTGTTTCCATTCGATAAACCTTCGAGCCCGTCTCAATCGTTTAACACGAGTAGATCGGTTTGGGTTTCCGATAGCAGAAGCTGTGAAGAACATTATCAATCGAGAGCCTTTTTAGCGAAATTGGCTCGATTTCAGACGCTGGTTTTGGTTCCGGTTAAAAGGGGAGTTTTGGAGCTTGGTTCTTTTAAATCGATCCTGGAAGAACAGAGTTTAGTTGCAATGGTGAAAACTTTGTTTAATGGATGTCATCCGAAAGTATTATCGAAGATTTTTGGCCATGAACTGAGTCTGGGCGGTGGCGGTGCAAAATCATCGAGAATCAGGGTGGGGGAGGGGCTGTGAAGAACGGCGACGAGTGAGGGTGGGGGAGGGAAGGAGACGAGCTGGAGAAGATGGAGACGATGACTGCAGCGACGACTTGGGGTGAAGGAGACGCATCTGGTAAAGGAAGCAGGTAAAGGGTAAAGTGGGAAGAATTGTCATCTGAATGGTTGAGTGAGGTAGTAGATGCAAAATGGTTAAGAGCCTTATGTAACCATTAAGAGGCTCTCTTTTTTTTTACCAAACAGCCCAAACCTCTGACCGATTAAGAGGTTCCCTCTTAATGTCACCATTAAGAGGGAAACAAACAGCCCCTTATACAATGAAAATTTATTTTACTTCTTATTTATATTTTCAAATTTTATTAATTAATATACATAAGCCCTATTATAAGTTAATTTACATATTTAAGCAATTCACTAAGAAACTATCTTTAATCCGATGTCATCTGAACTAGTGAAATTTTTTTGTTTCCAATTCTACGTGTTCTACTCTCATTAAAAAGTAGATATTACTTATGTAATTCCCATATGGTTTAAAAAGAAACTAGTATACAGGGGCAGATTCAGCCTTTAAGCACGGGGGAAAGGCCCGCAGTCAAAAATCAAAAACCTTTGTTGACTAGCTTAATTTTATATTTTCACCTTCATCTTACATGGTTTCTCCTCAGTCCCATATGACCATATGCTTCCCTCCCCCAAGTCCCATCCAACGTGGCCCCACCTTATTAATTTCTTGGATCCGTCACTGCTATTATAAGAAGACCCTTTTATACAAAGATGATTTGTTTACCGAAATTGTTGACATTGTTTAATTGTTTCATCGTTCAAATGTTCAGTTATATATTTTTCGTATTTTTGCCTCAATTATTTTAATTTGTGGTCAGTTGATAATGTTTTTATTAAATTTACAATTATGAACGTTTTTTTATCGTTATATTGTCAAAACTTCATTTTTGTATATTTTATAATTATAATGTTTACAATTCATATTTAGATATAAAATTATTATTTTATAATTCTAAAATAGGGAATCATCATCGCAATAAAATATTCAACCTAAAAAACGCAATATTTAGCAATAAATAATCAAATGAAGTGGCCAAGAAAAAATTATTTAAATTATTTGCTTAGACTTGGATTTGTATTTGTAGTTGGCGATGAGATGATTATGCCAAGGGAAAAAGTAAAATTTTAATTAGAATATTATTAGATCATGTATCAAATGCTACTTGGGAGAAACAAAACCACAGGGCGATGGCCCCCACACCCCCTTAAGGCTTCTGTCTACAGAGACTGTGTTAGGTTTCATGTGGGAGTAAGAGTTTTTCATGAAATCTGTAAGAATAATTTATGTTTATTGATTAATTTTATAAGCTAATATTTAATGCTCTAAAGTTGTATGGTGGTAATTTTGTGATTATTAAGAAGTCTCATGATAATTTTGTGATTATGAATGTTCAGATTGTAGATCTAATCCAAAAGTTGAGAATTGGTCTTACGGGTCTCACGAAAACCCCTTGGTCTCACATGATCCAAAGTCTATATATATATATATATATATACACACACACACACACACATACATATAGGGTTGTAAACAAACCAAACGTTCAGCAAACCGTTCGACGGAAAGTTCGTTTATTTAATAAATGAACGAACATGAACAATATTTTTTTTCGTTAGTTAAACGAACGAACATGAACAAAAGTCTCGTTCATTCATTTATGTTCGTGAACGTTCGTTCATTTACCGTTTGTTTACATTCGTTTATATTCGTTCGTTTATGTTCGTTTAGATATTAAATTTAATATATAATCTTTTGTTTATTTACCTTGAATTCAAATAATATTTATTTATGTTCGTTTAGCCCGTTCGTTTATGTTCGTTCGTTTAGCATGTTAACGAAGGAATACACCTGGTTTCTAAACAAACGTACATGAACACAAAGATTTTCGTTCGTTTACCGTTCGTGTTCGTTCGTTTGTTCGGTTAAGTTAAACAAACGAATATGAACAAGTCTTCATTTGTGTTCGTTTACAGCCATATATATATATATATATATATATATGTATGTATATGAAATAAATATACTCTCAAATAAATATAAGTTTATTAATATATTAAATGTTAGTCTTAGATAATTACCAACATTAATGTTTTGTATTGTTTTATTAAATAAAAATAATTCGTCAATTTCAGAATTTATTGATAATCATCCTTTTCTTAGAAAGTTATTTATTTCATTTTCATAATAACAAAAGAAATCGGTATTTTTTTTAAATTGACAAATCTTTCTAGATTTATTAATAATATAGTTGTGATATTTTCCAAATTTTGAGTATATCGTTTTATTTCATTTGTAAAATTCATGAATAAATTGATTTACTTACAAACTTCATTAATAAAATCATGTTATCCAGTTTTCAAAATATTTCGTTCATAAAACTAATTTCATTTTGGTTAGCAACCATGAAACTAATTTCATTAATGAATCATATTATTCAGTTTTCAAATGTTCCATTGACTGAATCATATTTACTTTCATTAATAAACTCAATTTCATTTTGGTTAGGAACCATGAAACCAATTTCATCTTGGTTAGGCAACATGAAACCAATTTCACCAATGAAATCATGTTATCCAGTTTTCAAAATGTTTCATTAATAAAACCAATTTCACTAATGAAATCATGTTATCCAGTTTTCAAAATGTTTCATTAATGAAATCATGTTATTCAATTTTCAAAAAATGTTCCAGTGACTGAACCATATTTAATTTCATTAATAAATTCAATTTCATTTTTATTAGGAACCATGAAACCAATTTCACTAATGAAATTATGTTATTCAGTTTTCAAAGTTTCTCATTCATAAAACCAATTTCACTAATGAAATCATTTTATTTAGTTTTCAAAATATTTCATTCAGTTTTTAAAATGGTTCAATCTTTATTGTTGATTAAAAAATATTGTTATGTTTCACTAGTAATTAAAATATCCCTCCTTTTATAGTTTTTAGGTAATTCTATTTTAATATGGAATTATTTAATTTCAATAAAGGAAAAGTCTAAAAAAACCCAATGAAATTTAGTGTTTGGAATGATTAAGTTTTTGAACAACTTTTTGGAACAAATAACTTTTTGGAAATTCCAAAACATGTTAAATAACTTCTTGAACTTTCTAAAACTTGTTAGATACATTGTTATAACCTATAAAACCGGTTAATGTGGTAAAATAATGGAAAAAGTCTAAACAAGTCTAAAAAAGTCAATGAATTTTTATATTTTGAACGATTAAGTCTCTATACATTTTTTGAACCAAAAAAGTACTTATATTTATAAAATAAAACAAATATACCAAAAAAGTATCTACATTTACAAAAAATCACGTACATTTAAAAAAAAAATTATTGATATTCTGTAATGAATAACAAGAGTCTGGTACTATAGGAGAATCTGAATTCTATCAAGCATTGAACGAGATTTGCTCAAGCAGTTTCCATTAGAGTCGGTTCTACTGAATTTTATATTAATAAAAAATTTATGGTAGTGATTTTTCAAATTAATAAAATAAAAAATAATTTAAAAATGATTACTGATTAAATTTATTTTAATTAAAAATAAAATATATATTTCGTATATGATTTGCTCAAGCGACGAGTTTTAATTAAATATCTATTTAGTTAAATTTTATCGTTAATCCACCAATAATTTAATCAAATTATTTTCTATTTTTTTAATTTGAAAAATCACCTACGGAATATATTTTATTTTTACTTAAAATAAATTTGATCAGTAATCATTTTTAATTTTTTTTTACTTTTTTTATTTGAAAAATCATATACTTAATATATTTTATTTTTAATTAAATTAAATTTAATCGGTAATCCATTTTAAATCTTTATTTATTTATTTATTTAAATTTGAAAAATCACCGACATGATATATTTTATTTTTAATTAAATTAAATTTAATCGGTAATCCATTTTAAATCTTTATTTATTTATTTATTTAAATTTGAAAAATCACCGACATGATATATTTTATTTTTAATTAAAATAACTTTCATTAATAATCTTATTTAAATGTAAGTAATTTTTTATAAATATAAGTAACTTTTTAGTATATTTGTTTCATTTTATAGATGTAAGTACTTTTTTGGTTTAAAAAATGTTTAGGACTTAATCGTTCAAAATATGAAAGTACATTAGTTTTTTTTTCACACTTTTTTCATTATTTTATCACATTAACCAGTTGTATAGATCATAAGAATGTATCTAACGGGTTTAAGAAATTCTAATGAGTTATTTAACAAATTTTGGAACGTCCAAGGACTTATTTATTACAAAACATTGTCTAAGGACTTAATCATTCCAAACACTAAAGTCAGTTGGATTTTTTTAGACTTTTATATTTTAATATTTACTCATAAAATAAAGAAAATTTTTGTTTGAATATATGATTTCCCAGATTTTTCTAACATTTTTTGTTGAAACCATTCTAAAAATAAAATCATATATATATATATATATATATATATTTTAAAGCACTGATTTTGTTTCATTAATGTTGATATCCATAATTTTGTTCTCTCCTTTACCAATTTATACAATTAATTTAGATTGAGATAGTTGTAGGTTGTATAAAATCGTATTGTTTCATCTTGAAATTTCAATGAGTTGACACTTTTAGTGCGATTAAACGGGTTTCATGCGAGGAAATGATATTTCAATGGGTTGAAATTTTAAAACTTTTCCCAGTTTTGCCCTTTTCTTGGATAAAATAATAATAATTTTATTTTCCATTTTTTGCTTTACTGAAATAACTTTTTTTAATAATGGTTTTTGATCATGAAAATGGATGGATGAGATTAGTTTGTAAGGTTTGTACAAAAGGGAGCGGTTCGTATTTGATCGTTCCTCCATATATATAGGAGCTTGTTCTTTTGTTAACAAAACAATTAGTGTTAACTTTATGAATCGATCTTGACCATTAATCTTTTAGATCTACGGATTAAATTGATTGATGGAATTTTTGTAGTAATTGTAAAAATGGTACTTATTAAACAAAGGTGAACACAATTGAATATGAGTATTTTTGGTAAAGATACTGAAGAATTGTTACAGGAATCAAGTCGGTTCCCGGTAATCACTTTTTCATCGTTTTGAAACCGACATCTGTTCATGAAGTACTACATTAGCAAAACATTGTAAATCAATTGAATGTTCAAATCATATACTAGAAACATTATCAGCAAGTCAAATGAGTCATCTGTGCGCATACCTACAAACACAAACTTTTTGATATGAACACATCTGTCAATAGATGAAGCATGTGTTCATCTATATGCATATGAACAAATCTAGTCATTCATGAAGCACAAGTTCATATACGAAAATATGATTCCTGTGTTTGCTTAATAATACAAAAGTATACTGCTTGAATCACCATGAATTACTTGTTCATGCATGAAGAGTTGACCACAATCATGAATAAGATGGATCTTCAGCTATCGCCAAATGATCATAATGGCTACAGTCATGAAATAATTAAAATGCAACCATCCATTACTATACATTAACAAAAAGATCAAATTGACAATTACATTCTTACCCTCATTAAATACCTAAACCATGTAAATTAACCAAATGTACTACTTAACTCTAATTTATAAAGAGGGGTTTGTAAAGTTACCTTTTCATTGGTAAAAAGATCTTCCCTCTCTATTTCTCTCTCTCTAAGAGATTTTTTAATATAATTTTATCTATTAATGAATAGTATTAATTTTTATAATTAAGATTAAGGAAAATTAATTAAAATAGTTATTTTTATCAGTTGGATTCACCTCTTAGCCACCTTTTAATTTTATAAGGTTTACCAAAATAGCCCTAGGTTTGTAATTTTTTTACGAACCTAGGTGAAAAATATAATTTTTTGGCGAATAGCGGTAAAAAGTGTAACTTTTTTCTGTCTTTTAGCTGGGTTCGAATTTGCGGACCTATAACTATTTTGGTAAACTTGAAAAGAAAATGACTATAAGGTAAAACCAACCCTAAAAAATATTCATAAAATTAATGATTTTACTTTTAAAAATAGATTATTTATTTTGTTTAAAGTATATTAAATATTTTATTCTTATTTAATAAGTCATGAAAGTTTACGTGCAAATTAAAAGCAAAATATATTTTAAAGGCTGCCTTTTTTTAATTTTCCTTTCTCAAATTTTATATTACATTTTCACCCCTTTTAAATAGCCCCAGCCGTCCAGACACCCAATTTCTCCTCTTTCCCTCAAGAAAATATCTCCCACAAGAAATAACAGTAAACACATCCCCTCTCTCTCTCTCTCTCTCTCTCTCTCTCTCTCTCTCTCTCTCTCTCTCTCTCTCCCTGTGTGTGTGTGTGTGTGAAGAAGAAGCTACAGGAAACATGAAGTTGAAGATGAACACACAATCAAAGCCTCTTTTGTTCTGCCACTATTAACTTCAAGCTTTCTCACTCGTCCGACAAAAAGGAAACAACTTTTTTTGTTCCAGGGATACAGCCATGTCGCTGGAGGATTCATTAAGATCTCTATCACTAGACTATCTAAACCTACTAATCAACGGTCAAGCCTTCAGCGACGTCACCTTCAGCGTGGAGGGAAGAATCGTTCATGCCCACCGCTGCATCCTGGCAGCTCGCAGCCTCTTCTTCAGAAAGTTCTTTTGCTCCGGCGGAACCGATTCTCCGACAGGGTCTGGATCGGATCCGTTAGGGTCGCGTATGGGCGTGGGGATGGGGATGGGCATGGGACCCGCTTCTCCCAGGAACTCAACGAGTTCACAGGTGGTCATACCTGTGAATTCGGTAGGGTACGAGGTGTTCTTGTTGATGCTGCAGTTCTTGTACAGTGGGCAGGTCTCGATTGTACCTCAAAAGCATGAGCCCAGACCTAATTGCGGTGAGAGAGGGTGTTGGCACACACATTGCACCTCCGCCGTTGATCTTGCTCTTGACACTCTATCCGCCGCTAGATCCTTTGGGGTTGAACAGCTTGTATTACTGACTCAGGTCTCCTCTCTCTCTCTCTCTCTGAGTAGATCATTCTTTTTTCCAGTTCTTCAAACGGAAACCCATTTAATAATCTCCATGGAAATTGCTCTAAGAGAAATATGTTTCATGTCCTTTAGTTGTCTTCTTACAGAAATCATTTGAATCATATGTAGTTGTTATGCTCAAATTGGTGATTTTAATGAAGTAAAAAGAACGAAAAAGACCAACAAGATCTTTCTGGGTTCTCTTTCAATTTAGTAGCTTTCAGTATCTTTTCACAAAAAAAACCATCTTTGATTATTTGTTTCTTGTCTGCAGTGTTTGGTCCAAGTAGGCTCCTGAGATGATTTATTTCCGTATACAAAGATTGAATAGATGATGAATTACAATAATCTTTCTTGAAAATGGACAGAATATTTCCAAAAATGTCTTCATGAAAGAGAAGGGTTAACGTGATATCTTGATTTCATGAACATTGTTCATTTCTTGAATTGGGTTCCTCTCTCTTTATGTTCCACACTACCAGCTTTCTAAATTTAGATCTTTTTTTATCCTTCTCTAGTCTTGTCTTCAACAGTTATTGCACCCATCATTTTCCCCCCTTACCCTCTACTTTCCTCATTTGTGTTTTGTTTGCTTATAGAGATACAGTCTCATTGATAATGCACAAAAGGGAAATACAATACATCATCACACAATCTTCTGCCTCTAACCCAAATATTATAACTTATCTTTATGATTTAAAAATGGGTTTCTTTAATTATGACGTTCCAACAATGTATACATTGACAAATTCAATGAGTATTATAATCTTTATTTCTTTTGAATTTTAAAATTGCAGAAGCAATTAGCAATCATGGTAGAGAAAGCTTCAATTGAGGATGTAATGAAGGTTCTGTTAGCTTCGAGAAAACAAGACATGCATCAGCTATGGACAACTTGTTCTCACTTGGTGGCAAAATCTGGTCTTCCACCGGAAGTCTTAGCAAAACATCTTCCCATTGATGTGGTGGCCAAAATTGAAGAACTCCGATTAAAATCTTCCCTTGCCCGACGCTCTCTCATGCCCCATCACCACCAGCACCACCACCATGACCTCTCAGTAGCGGCTGATCTAGAAGACCAAAAGATCAGGCGCATGAGACGAGCACTTGATTCATCGGATGTGGAGCTTGTTAAACTCATGGTCATGGGGGAAGGCCTAAATCTCGACGAGGCATTAGCCCTACATTATGCAGTAGAGAATTGCAGCCGAGAGGTGGTGAAGGCGTTGCTGGAACTAGGAGCTGCAGACGTCAATTACCCAGCTGGACCGGTGGGGAAAACCCCACTTCACATCGCTTCTGAGATGGTATCGCCTGACATGGTGGCTGTATTACTGGACCATCACGCAGACCCCAATGTTCGAACCATCGAGGGGATCACTCCCCTTGACATCCTCCGAACCTTAACTTCAGATTTCCTATTCAAAGGAGCCGTGCCAGGGCTAACCCACATCGAACCAAACAAGCTCAGGCTCTGCCTCGAGCTCGTTCAGTCAGCTGCATTGGTGATATCGAGAGAGGAAGGGAATGCAGCAGCAAATGCAGCCTCAAATTCAACACCGATTTATCCACATATGAACGATGATCATTCCCACACTCATACTCATAGCAGCAGTTCAAATAGCAGTGGGAATATAGGTAACTTGAATCTCGATTCAAGATTGGTTTATCTGAATCTTGGAGCAGCAGCAGCAGCACAAATTGGATGCAACAAGATGGATGTAGGTGGAGGAAGAGAAGATAACAGCCATCACAACAATCATCATCATCATCATCATCGACATGGCTCTTCGCAAGGTGGTTGTGACACCTCAATGTACCACCATCCTCATCATGAGTATTAGGTCAACTATCTTTATATATATATATAATATATATATATATTTATCTCTCTCTCTCTCTCTCTCTCTCTTTTTTTCTCTCTTTTATCTAGAATTACCTTTATATATTCACCCATGAAGTAGGGCTGATCAAGCACAAACATATCAACCAAAAAAACACATTCATGGGTACGTATTAATATCATCTTTCCTCTATAATTGGTCACCTTTTCATCTCTTTTTGTGTGTTTTGATTAATCTTTTCCTTTTTTAGTGGTTTTGGGTGGTGGCGATTCTTTCTCCTGCAAAGAAACTCATATACATGTCTTTTTTTAAAATTTTAATACAATTAAATTTCACGTGATTGATATTATTGAACTAAAACCGAGTTGATGGGTGGTGGGTATTCTTGATTGTTGGTTTTTATGATGATCATTGGCAATGGCAGTGGTGAGACCATCGAAGGTGGGGATTTTTTCAAAGATCACTCATGAGATGGGACATGGAGAATCTTGAAATCAAAGTTTTTTGCTCCTTCTCTTGTGTGGAGAGACGCAGGTCAATCTTTTCTAAAAAAACAATCTGTCAACTCTTTTAATATTTTTTTTGTTTTGTTCTTGGAATTTTATAATCATAAATAATATTTAAAAAGTGTTTTTTTTTGCCAATTATTATTTTCTTGCTTCTCAACTAGAAGCATCATGTACCTTTATCTCATATAAATATAATTCATCAAGAACAGCTCCAGCTACTTGTAATTTTTATAGTTATATATTGATCCCAACAACAACAACAAAAAGGTTGCATTCTGTGCTCAATTCTTGAAATTTCAGTTTTCAATGAAAACCAGCATCTAAATCATTGAATTTACAGTGTTAATTTTGAGTAATTATGGTATTTAATAAAATACATAAACACGTTAAAATATTTTATCAAATGCAATAATATATCTAAAAGCAAAATTAAATTTAAAACTCATGTGTAATTGTAGAGTCATCATATTCATGTACCTGGTAGAGTTTAATGTGAGTTGATGTTTTGGTGAGCAACAGAGTTTTAATAAATATTTGATCAACCAACAAATTGAATCAAATCATGATTTTTAATTAATTTTTTCATTTATTCCTTTTTATAAATAATAATTGTCCATTTAATATCAGGAAACGAACTATATTTGGCATGAATATTTCTTTTAAATTGAATTGGAAATTAATTTAGGTATATTTTAATTAAACGAGCAAATTGAAATTAATTTTTTTATGAATATTTCGGGTTTCAACTCTATTATTAGGTGAATAAAATAAGGGGAAAAATGTATAAAGTAAAGTATTTGTAGGGGAAAAAAAGGACATAAAATGAAGTAAATGGCCAAATCGACAGATTGATTGGTTGTCTTGCATGAATGCAACAAGTGAGTGTGACAACACAGAAAGGGTTAATATTTAATTTGTGTGATATCTAATTTGTGGATTCCCTCCATGTAATCTTGTCTCTTGTCGCTTCCTGTGCTTCCTTTATTGCACTCCTACTTCTCCCATGGCTTAAAAACCCTAATTAATCTTTAAAATCAAATGCCTTCTGTCTTTTTCCATACCCTTTTTGTTTTACATTACCTTGAAAAGAGCTGAATACTTTTTCAAAAAGAATTGTTTTTGGTGAGAAGGATCTTATATTTTTATTGTATTAATGTATTCAGACGTTTAGATATTATCAAAAAAGCTATTACATTTTAGTTAGGAGATAATGTTACACAGTTTCTTCCTCAATCTTTTCATTTCCCAAAATAAGCTTTTGCTGGGATCCTTATTAATGCTTTTTATCATCAATGGCACTACAATATATCATAAATGATGCATATGTTACAAGATCTTGATGGGAGAATTTCATTGCCCATGTCTGATTGATATGATGGGGTTAAGTGTTTACTTTCAATTTGTGTGTTCCCTATGTAAACATGGCTAACTTAGTTTTAAGGTTTGTAGGTAGCCTGCTATGAAAAGCTTGTCTTGTCTTATTGTCTATAATTAAGCTAAATCTCAACTAATTTTCATAGGTTTCTGTGGTAAAAGTAAGTGATTTCACTTCTCTCAGTTATGTTTTAACTGGTTTGCAATTGAACAATCAACAAGTAAATTGATGGGGTGGAGCCTTTTATGCACTCTTGAAAGTGATCATATCTATAATTTGAATTTCATATTTTTTTTTGTTGAAAACCCCAAGGCAATGATCAAAAATCGTGTAGCAAGTAGAGGAACAGTATATAGATTCACATACATATGATGAAGCCATGGATATTAAGAAGGTTAGAGTTGAAATGGCTTGATGGTTTTTCTTTTTGAAGTAGAAATGGCTTTTCTTTTTGCCCATGAGAGTAATGTTGGTCATGATAACAAATGAACTTTAAGCAGATCTTTTTGTAAGTTGAAGTTGACTTAGAGACTACAATACTGTCATATATGGGACAGTCAGATTCAATCTAAATATCTGTTCAGCTAAACTGAGTCTTGTTACGTAGGCTGTTAACTTATGGAGCATGCTGAATGGACTAATAGATGAAAGCCCTTAACTTTGAAAGGATAGGTTGAATTTAGGTTTACACAAGCTTGAGGCTTGACTTATGTAATGGGCAATGAAGAGAGGGTGAACCTATGGACAATCTGCACCTTGTACACTAGACTTGAAGTTCCATCAGATCACATGCAGGAGAAATTAGTTTTAAGATGATTTAGCTTGATGGAGGCTTGTATGTGTCCAATCTGTGCAGTGGGATAATCAGGTAAGTTTCAATCTTTTTGGAAGCGTTACTACATTTAAAACTAGGGCTGTAAACGAACCGAACGAACACGAACGGAGGCTTGTTCATGTTCGTTCGTTTAACTTAACCGAACAAACGAACGAACACGAACGGTAAACGAACGAAAATCTTTGTGTTCGTGTTCGTTCGTTTAGAAATAAGGTGTGTTCGTGTTCGTTCGTTTAGAAATAAGGTGTGTTCGTGTTCGTTTATGTTCGTTCGTTAACATGCTAAACGAACGTAAACGAACGAACATAAACGAACGGGCTAAACGAACATAAACGAACGGGCTAAACGAACATAAATAAATATTATTTGAATTCTAAGTAATTAAATAAAAGATTGTATATTAAATTTAATATATAAACGAACATAAACGAACGATAAATGAACGAATGTAAACGAACGGTAAATGAACGAACGTTCACGAACATAAATGAACGAACGTAAACGAACGGTAAATGAACGAACGTTCACGAACATAAATGAACGAACGTAAACGAACGGTAAATGAACGAACGTTCACGAACATAAATGAATGAACGAGACTCTTGTTCATGTTCGTTCGTTTAACTAAACGAACAAAAAAAATTGTTTATGTTCGTTCATTTATTAAATAAACGAACATAAACGAACTTCCCGCCGAACGGTTCACGAACGGTTCGCTGAACGTTCGGTTCGTTTACAGCCCTATTTAAAACTATTGATTATATTGCGTAAATGAGATAAAATAGAATATATGTTAAAGAACAAAAATTGGCTAAACCTAAAACGATTAACAATCTGAAACTAAACCTAAACCATTAATGATTTGAACCTAAAACTAAACAATTAATGGTTTGAATCTAAATAATTTCGGCTATAATTTTACACGGGTCGATAAAAGACCCTGATCACATGTAAATTTGGGCCCTAAGATTTCGAAGGCCCTGTTCAAAATCTCATATTTTACATCCTAAGGGACGGATCTGTAGATAATACTACACTTGACCTCAACCTTAAGTTGAGCCAATTAGTTACAAGTTGGTGCTTTGAACCCTGCTTGTTAAAAGTAATTTTCACTCTTGCTGATGCTTCAGCTTCTGTTGGTTGTTGGTTCCTTATGCGTCCTGGCTTGTTTTGGTGGTTCAAGGTTTCTTGTTTTTTTTTTATTAACCTGGATATCCAACTCGCTATGCGAGCCGACTAATCCCAGGACGATCATCTGCTTTGCAGATAGCCCGGAGTCACTGTATTTGAATCATCGTGGCCACAAGGGATTTTTATTCCTCATTGGATTTGAACCTGGGACCTCCAGGTATTTTAGAGCCAAACTCAAACCAATTAAACAACACCCTTGTGGTTGTTGTTTTCTCTTATCCTTTTCTATCGGTAGTGCTGACTGAATCTTCGGTATATTTTTGCTTTAATTACTTTGGTTGACTTGGTTTGTTTGCAGGTTCGTAGATTTTGATTTGTCTTAAGACAGATTTTGAACTTTTTACTGAAAAACTTGTGAAATCATATTTAAAAGAGGGTATTATTTTGAAAAACTTCTAAAAATATGGATATTTGTAAAACAAAGCATGGGCGGACCTACCATGGTGATTATAATGGCACGTGCCACCGTATTATTTCTCCGTCGAAGAGTAAAAAAACTTAGGTTCGTGAAAGGTGCAACCGTATTAATCTGTTGTGTGCCACCATATGTATTTTGAAACTACAATGAGAACAAGTTTTATTTGGTAGAGTTGATTTGCAAGGCTTTTATTCCACTCAAGACCCAAATTCAAATTTTGTTAGTGTCATTTTCTTAGTCAAATAGTGTCACCGATTGGAAAAAAAAAATACCGTATATGTGTTTCTTATAGTCAACCGGTGCCACTGTTTGAAATTTTTTCGCTATAGTTTTTTGTTATAGTCAAATGGTGCCTCCGTTTGAAAACAATTCTGAATCTGTCCCTGAAACAAAGATGTGACAATACTATTCATCCTATTACCATTTTAGAACTTCTATACCATACCCATTAACCATTAGGCCTGGCCTAGTGGCCACCTCCTTCCGTAAATGCCTTGCCTTGGGCGTGCCCACCCGGGTTCGATTCCAGGGGAGGACAGGTTGTCTTTTCCGATGCTTGCTTATGAGGTATGGCAAGTAGGGTTCACAAAATGTGGACCATGGGGCCATGAGGTCCCCGCCATTAAACCTTTTTTACCATACCCATTATCTTTTTTTTTTACTTGGCTTTTA